GGGGGAGAGAGAGAGAGGGGATAAGGAGACAGGCAGAGAGAGGGGATAGGGAGAGAGAGAGGGGATAAGGAGACAGGCAGAGAGAGGGGATAGGGAGAGAGGCAGAGAGAGCGGTTGGGGGGGGGATAAGGAGTCAGGCAGAGAGAGGGGATAGGGTGTGAGAGAGAGACAGAGAGAGAGGGAGTGTCCCTGAGTCCCCCTTTGAGCCTCTGTCACTTTTTTCCCAAAGAGTCAGGACAGTCCAGGTGTGTGTGTGCCCGGGGCCCAGGGTCCAAGGTTCTACATCCAGAGACCTCTCACACCCAGGGAGGGAAGTGCGGCCTCAGCTGGCACCCCTGGCTGAGCCTGGCACCTGGAATCTCTGTGAACCCACAAGGCTGTCAGTGTGAGGACCTAGCAAGGCCTGGCCTCTGCCCACTGCTCTGCCCCCTCCCCCGGGAGCCAGCCAGGGATGGAGGGGACAGTCCTGGGTGACTGTCATGGCTGACTGTCCCAGGTGAACCGTGGCTCCCACATCAACATTCACAGCCCTCCCCCCCCTTTTTTTTCCCGCAGGAGAGAGGGGCCCACACGGAGAGAAAGGTGAGGCATCCCGCCGACCCGCGGGCGATGCGCAGGCTCTGTCCCATCTGGTTCTCGCGTCCTGTCTTGCCAGAGCATTAGCCCTGCGGTGTGGGGGCGGGTCTGGGACCACGTCGTTCCCCTTCAGGCCATGGGCAGGAGGGTGCGCTGGGCCTTCCCACTTCTGTGCACACCTCGAGGGGCCCAGCCCCCTCTGGGAGCCAGTGAGGGCACAAACCTGGAGCCTGTCAACAGCCGACCCCAGGATCGTGAATAGCTGGACTACATTAGTGAGGAAAAGTGGATGTTCTAGTTATTTACAGTTTTTTTTTTTTTCTGATTTATGCTAATTTATTTTTAAACATAGAAAAAGAGAAAACAAACAAAATTCCAAGATGTAGTCACATGCTGTGTACAAAGGAAAGCACATGACTGATGTGCAAACCCAGACACCAAGGCCCCCCGGTGCCGTGTCCACCCTGGACTCTGACCTGGAGGCCTACACTGAGCTGAGCTGGCCACAGGGGATGCATGAGGTGACTCTCTGCTTCCATCTGTACGTCAGGGCCCTAACCAAGTGGCCGAAGTGGCCTAGTTAGTGCTGATGAGTGACTGTGCTGATCAGCAGCCCGCAGAAAAGGCCCAGCGTGGCAACAATCCGTCCATCGGCTCCAAGTGAAGCAGAGTCTGTTAGGTCTAGCTGCCGTCCAGTGACTCCAGCTCCTGGCAATGGAGTCTACAGTTCAGAGTAGAACTGCGCTCCACAGAGTTTTCAGTGGCTGATTTTTTGGAAGTAGATGGCCAGGGCTTTCTTCTGAGGTTCCTCTGAGTAGCCATGAACTTCTGACCTTTCAGTTAGCAGCGGAGCATGTTAACCATTTGCACCGTTAGAACTGGATCATGTTGGTCCTGGAAAGATCTAAGATAATTGCTTCCATTTTCTGCTTTGTTCACGGACCCCTTGAGGCTGAGAGATGGGGGTTCTGCCTTATTACCTTGTAACCTGGGTTTCCTCTCTCCCTAAAACAGGGGAGCCTGGGCATTCAGAGTACTGCAGGACAGGTGACTGACGAAGCTGCCACCTCAGGACACAGTTCACCCCACCCCTGCTGGCAGGAGCTCGGCAGGAGGCTGCTGTCCACACTCATGTCCCAGAATCTAAGGACAGGGCCCTCCCCCGCCCTTTACACCCACAATTTTTCAAGTAAAGGGCAACAATCGCCTACCTAACGCTCCAGCATATCCCACAGGGACTTCTCTGCAGGAGCCTAACATTTACCCCAGAGGCCAGGTGCCAGGGATACCTGGGTGGGGCAGCCTGGAGTGTGGGGATGGTCAGGGGACTGGGCTCTGCCACTCACCGCCGGGGGCCCTGTGGGTCCCGCCTCTTTCCCAGGCCCCAGCCTCCCCTTCCCATCCAGACTCCTCTGTCCTGCCTCTCTCTCCCCATCCACTGCCTGCCCACCCAGCAACCATGTCCTGGTGCCCATTTCCCTGTTCCCCTCCAGCACCACAGACCTGCAAGGAGCTGCTCACCCAGGGGAACGCTCTGAGCGGCTGGTACACCATCTTCCTCCCTGACTGCCGGCAGCTGACAGTACTGTGTGATATGGACACGGACGGCGGGGGCTGGACCGTGAGTGCTGGGTCACAGGGTGGCTGTGGGGCCTCGGAGAGGGGCTGCCTGAAATCCCCACGCTCTCCTTGTGACTTTCTGAGGGTCTCTTTCCCTCTGGGCCTGGCTTCCCTATTGTCACTCATGAGGCACAGACCCATCCCTTTCACTGGGAACAGAGAGGATCAGAAAGGGTGGTGGTGGGGTGACCCGGTGAGGGGAAGAGGCCAGGTGGGGACCGAGGCCCAGGAGGAGCCCTCTCTCTTCCAGCTGTAAGAGTCTGGGCTATCTCTCACCCTCTCTGAACTCCATCTTCTCCTTGGGAAACTGGGGAGCCCACCAGACCATACTGGGTTGATGATGAGGCCTATGTGGAGTCTTGTGCACCCAGCTTGTGACATTGTGTGAACTGTGAAGTGCAGCTCCCGTGTGGGGTCAGGGTCACTCCCTGTGCTGAGGGACGTGAGCCTGGCCGCCCTCTCCCCGAACCCCTCTGGTCCCCAGGTTTTCCAGCGGAGGATGGACGGCTCTGTGGACTTCTTTCAGGACTGGGCTGCATACAAGCGGGGCTTTGGCAGTCAGCTGGGAGAGTTCTGGCTGGGGAACGACAACATTCACACCCTGACTGCCCAGGGTGAGGACCTGCTGGAGGCTTGAGGTCGTGAGGGCCTGGGATGGACACTGCCCCACCCCGAGACCCAGATCCTCTGGAACATAAGACTATGGCTGATAGAACTCTGAGAACATGGATGTCATCACTGTGACGTGCTGGGGTGTGCACCCCTGCCTTGGGCTCTCAGAGCATGAGGATCAGGGATATGGGATCGCTGGGGTGAAGATATCTTCCAGCCATAGCACCCTTGGCGCATGGAACCCGAGAGTAGGGAGGGACATCGTGGCCATCAGGGCTTGGAGTAATCCAACCCCTAGCCTTTGATTCTATTTCTTTGGGGCTGGGATCTTAGGCTCACAGAGCCCCTCCCCGTCTTCTCCCAGCTCAGTGCTTGTGGCAGATCCCCGCTAACATGCCCACCGTGAGGGCGAGGCCTCCACTCCACAGTGTCAGCCTCCCATCTGTCCTGGAGAAAACTTCAAAGTCGAGGTTCTCTTCCTCCTCATCCAATGGCCCTGGACAACCTTGAGGGCATCCACTCATGTGCCTCCAGTTCTTCCAAGAGAGGGGAAGTACAAACACAGTCTCTCACACCGCGTGCTGGTGGCTTAACAACCATTGCCAGGACAATTCACATTTTAAAATAGAGTGAAGTTTCATCCGTTCAGTGAACACAATGGTGGAATTTCAGGATGGCTGAAGGGGTAGTGAGGACAATATTTAGAAATACGGACTGTCCCTGAGGTCCTCACGTCCATAAGGCATTTGTACAAAGTCCCAGCTGAATTTTCCCTGGATGCACATTCACACAGCCCTCAAGGACTTACCCGATTCCCCACCCTCCATATCTGGTGGCAGAAAGACTCTTCAGCTGGGACCTTAAAGTCTTTTTCCAACAGGCACTAGTGAGCTCCGTGTGGACCTGGTGGACTTTGAGGGCAACCACCAATTTGCCAAGTACACATCATTCAAGATGGCAGGAGAGGAAGAGAAATACAAGCTGGTCCTCGGGGCCTTTGCGGGGGGCACTGCAGGTGAGTGTCTACAGAGCACCGGGGGCCTGGGCTTCACAGCGGGGCTGGACAGTCAGTGAGATTGGGGCTAGAATCCTGGCTGTGTCCCTCCGTGGGTGACATTGTTCCCGGGGCCTCACCTCCTGAGCCCCATTCCTCCTTCTATGAATGCAGACTCTCACACCTGCATCTCTAGGTAAGATTAGATCCCAGGACATGACTTGTTACAGTCTCTCAGGCTGTGTCAGCTATAGGGTGAGCTCTCTGAGAGTAGGGCCAAAGTTCTTGACCATCATCACTGCCAACACCTGGAAGAGGACAGTCATTTCACACATGTTCACAAAGCCCCATTCCCAAGCTGTGTTCAGTGGGACATGACAACTGTTGAGCATTCTTGGCCAAAAGTGTTCTCAAGCTACATGCTTTAGGAGCCTTTTTCTATATAGCATCCTCTTGGGAATTCCCAGAGCACCTGAGTTCCCTCCAGGTTCAAAAGATCCCTGAAGCAGGAAGCTAATCCACCTGTGTTTAAGCCACAGCTGCCCAGCCCGAGGTACTCTCTTCTGTGGAGTTTTGATCACAAGAACCTGAGAGTTTGCAGGTCATTTTTACATACACGAGCTCCTTTGAGCCTCCTGGGGAGGACAGATGGTCAGGGACTGGCACCCCTATTGTAGATGGTGAAGCTGAGGCTTGGGGTGAAAACACTCCCAGAGGAGCCAGAGCTGAGCTGGATCCCAGGGGACAGAGGGAGCAGGACAGTGCCCTGGATGGTTCCCCAGAGGAAACCTGCTGGAGGAAGGAGGCCTCTTCAGGGCGGGAGCTCTGCTCAGAGACAGTAGCTCATGGCTGTGTGGGGAGCAGGACCCTTGGTGACCGGTGGAGGCGGCCTGGCATGGTGGGCTCCAGGAGTAGAGGATGAAGTTCCTGGTCCCCTGCTCTGCTGGTCATGAAAGGAAGATGGCATCAGGGGGCAGGGCTGGAGCTAACCCAGGGGCAAGCAGGGCAGCCAGGGCATGGGGAGAAGCCCGGCCCAGAGGGCTGACTGAGAAGAGAGGGACTCTCTAGCGGAGAGAACTGTCCTCAGAGTCTTGTTGGAACCCAGGAGGAAGCAGTGTCTCTGGAGGAAAGAGGCCATGTCATGTGGGGAAGGAATCCTGGATGGGGTGGGTGCAGAGGGAAGATGGTGCTTCTGCTCCTTCATCCTCAGGTCTGGACAGACTCTAGACCTGCCTGGGTGGCAGCACCCACTTCTCTGGAGAGAGGGTGGTACAAGGTAGAAGCAGGAAGCAGAGCCAGGTGAGGACTTCCTGCCGGCAGGTTTTTTCTAGTACCCATCACACCCACTTTTCATCTCCAACAGGTGATTCCCTGACAGATCACAACAACCAGTCCTTCTCCACCAAAGACCAGGACAATGACAAGGGTTCTGCAAGCTGTGCTACGCGGTTCGAGGGAGCCTGGTGGTACAACGACTGTCACTCATCCAACCTGAATGGTCACTACCTCGGGGGGGCCCACGAGAGCTATGCAAATGGCGTTAACTGGAAATCAGGGAAGGGGTACAAGTACAGCTACAAGACGTCCGAGATGAAGCTACGGCCCGCCTAGCTCAGGGCCAGGCAGCCTCACCTGTCCCATAGCGGCCTCATCCACCCACAGTGGGGAAGTTACAGCCATAGGCATGGCAACATCAGAATTTTAGTTCTGTGTCCCCTCTCATTCCGTTTCTGCCCCCATGCCTCACAGCTTTGTCAACCTCGCTTTGCAAAGCCAGCACTACTCATCCTCAGGTCCCAGAGAGCATGCGTCCCCAAACGTTACCAGAATGAAGAATACTGTTTTTAAAAGGTGTTTATTTTTTGACAGACAACATGTTTTTTCCAGCTTTGATTTGCATTTCTTGTATGCAGTCTTTTTCAGCATATTTTCATATCTAACTTGTTAGTTGGGGTTGAGTTGGCTCTGAGTAGGCTCTGACTCATGGCAACCCCAGGTACAACAGAACGAAACGTTGCCCGGTCCTGCGCCATCTTCACAATCAATGGTATGCTTCAGTCCATTGTTGCAGCCCCTGCGTATTCTGAGTGCCTTCCAACCTAGAGGGATCATCTTCCAACACTATATTGGAAATACTCTGTTGTGATCCATTGGGTTTTCATTAGCTGATTTTCAGAAGTAGATCACCAGGACCTTTTTCCTACTCTGTCTTAGTCTGGAAGCTCCACTGAAATCTGTCCACCAGGGGTTACCCTGCTGGTGTTTGAAATACTGGTGGCATAGCTTCCAGCATCACAGCAACACAAAAGCCACCACAGTAAGACATACCGACAGCTAAGTGGAGGATTCCCATGAATTTGGTGAGTGAGAAGAATTAGAATGTCCATCTGGCAGATGTAATTACTAATGTCCAGAGAGGTTAAGTGGCTTTTCCCATGGATTTCCAACCTTGAGCCCCAACTCTCCTCCTTTAATTGATGCAGTTGGATGCTCTGTTTCACCCCCAAGTCCTCTGTATTCCCTGTGACCCACTCACAAAATTCACACACGTCTTTAAAAAGGTCACATTTGGCCTAGAAAACTCATGGAAAAGGGGGACGTTAAATAAGGACATTTCGGCCTCCAGTCACAGCAGAGTCAATGCTTGGTGCCAGCTGTTCCCTGCAAACAGCTGACAAGCCAATCTTCTACTCATGAGGAAGGTGCTGCTGCATCTTTTCAGTACAGTGTGGGTCCGTGGGACACCCACCTAGGACAGGGCTCTGCTGCCTGGCTCTGGGTGGCACCTGGGAGCTGCAGGCACCTGCTTTCCCACCCCACCCCCACCCTACCTGCTGGGACTTGACTCCTCAGCCCACCAGAGCTGGCCTCAGGGCTCCCTCCCAGAGCAGAGAATGGGGGATAGGGCCACCTAGGAGCCTGGGCTCAAGGCCAGGCTTGTCCCTTGGGCTAGGCTGTCCCCTGTCCCTCTGAGGCCCACCCCTCCCTGCCTGCTCCCCTGAGGGCCCAGGTGAATGCTGCATGGAGGGCCGTGGGAAGTGGGGCAGCTCTCTGGGCCGGCCTGGAGGGACTCCGACACATATTCTTTGCCTCAGACTCTCACCTCTGCGACTGTGTTCTCTAGGGCCGGGAGAGGTCTGAGCCTAGCCTGGGCTGTGATCTCTGGGGCTGGGGGAGGTCTGGGCCCAGCCTGGGCTGTGATCTCTGGGGCCAGGGGAGATCTGGGCCCAGCTTAGGTAGCTTAGCTTTGGGTGGGAGTGTTGGTGCCAGGAAAACCTGGTCCTTCTGATGAGGACCAGCTGCACATGCCAGTGACACCGTTTTTGTTTGAGGATCGAGCAGGCCATCAAAAATCCCATCTGCTGAGGGGAGGGCTGTAGACCACATCAAGGCCAAGAATTGACCCCCACCTCTGAGGATTCCCTTGCTGAAAGCGCAGTGTGGTCTGGGAAAGGGGGCCCGCCTTCCCTTGAGCGGAATCGGAGCATTTCCGGTGGGTTCCATCCTCTGTGCTCCACCTCCCATGCCTTGTTGTACTCTCTCCCTCACCGTGATTCCCCCAAATCCAACAGGATATCTGAGGTAGTCTTCCCTGAGCTCCCCCTTCCGAGAGGAAGGCCTGTCCAGGAGGGAAGCACTTGGGGTGTCCTAGGGCCTCCCGTCCCTGGGCCCTCTGACTGGGAGTGTGGTGGTAGCCTACCTCCAGAAGAATCTCTTGGTGAAGTTGTTATTGTTTTCGCTTTTTAAGCATGATTTTTGCCAAGGAATCGAGAGAGAGAAAATGTGATACGTTCACTAGACTTCATTTTCTTTCCTGAGAATGTAAGAGGACTATTCTTCAAAACCGTTCTTGCAGTTTGGTGGGGCCACAGGACCGAGGGACAGGGTCCCCTCCCAGGACTGGGCTCTAAGATCCCTGTGCCATCTTCCAGTGGAGAACCCCAGACCTTCACCAGCATGAATCCCCTGTGCAGTTACAACACTGAGATACTGGGGATCTTTATCGTAGTGGCTGGCAATGCTTGCACTGTCCTATACATAAATTGGTATCAGAGGTGCAGTGCTGCTGTACTAGAAAAGCAAAAAACAAACAAAAGCAACAACAGCTGATTCTGACTCATGGCGACCCCACACGAGTCGTAGTAGAACTGTGCTCCATAGTGTTGTCAATGGTTGATCTTTCAGGAGCAGAGCGATAGGTCTTTCACCGGAATCATCTCTGGGTGGACTTGAACTGTCAAACTTTTGGTTAGCAGCTGAGGGCATTAAGCCTTTGCATCACCCAAGGACTCCACTGCTACAACAGAAATCTAAGACCTGAGACACTGGCCTAGCAGCCAGACGGCGGGCTGGAGGGCTGGAGGGTTGTTTTGGTAAAAGTGTTGCCTCCAATAACTTGGAAGATATTTCCATGGTGCATCCTTTGTAGCTCTAAGGGAAGAGCTTGAAAAACAGATTTTGAACAGAGTGTCTTCATTATCATTGACTGTCTGGCTAGGTGTAACTGGAAAAGGAAGAGTTGAGGGATGAATTTAGCAGTTTGCAAGCAGGAATAAGATGGAATAAAGAAAGTACAGGGATTTGGGGTTGTGTACAGTTGGAAAATATGCATGTGAAAGTTGGACAATGGAAAAGGAAGATCGAAGGAGAATTGATGCATCTGAATTGTGGTGTTGGAGAAGAATATTGAATATACCATGCCCAGGTTGTGCAGTGGTTAAGAGCTCAGCTGCTAACCAAAAGGTTGGCAGTTCGAATCCACCAGCCACTGCTTGGAAACTCCATGGGGCAGTTCTACTCTCTCCTATAGGGTCGCTATGAGTTGGAATGGACTCAACGGCAATGGGTTTGGCTTTGTGGTTTTGGCCAGAAAAATGAACATATCAGTCTTAGAAGAAATACGACCAGGTTGTCCCTTCTGTGCGAGGATGGCAATACGTTGGCTGACTTATTTTGGACACGTCATCAGGAAAGACCAATCTGTAGAAAAGGACATCATGTTTAGTAAAGCGGAGGTCATCATAAATGAGGGAAGTCCTCCATGACAGGAATTGACGCCATGGCTGCAACAATGGGCTCAAACATATCAATGCTTGTGAGGATGGTGCAGCACCGGGTAACTTTTTGTTCTGTTATCCATAAGGTCACCATGAGTTGGAGCTGAGTCTGCAGCAACCAACAACAATAGCTGGAAAATACTGGAACATTTTTAGACCCCAAACAGTAAGAGCTGGGATTTTAAAATCTCTTGAGCAGCAAAGCCCGTGAGATGCTTTTTTGAACAGAGCAACTCAGCAATGCAGCAGAGTTCAGGTTAAGGCTGGATCCTTCCCGCCAAGCCAGGAAACTTGAAGGGTGCTCCCCTTAAGCTGATAAGTACAGAGAGGCTTGGAGATTAATTAGCAAAGAAACAAAGCCAAGCTGAGAAGTAGCTCAGGAAGAGAAGATGGAAGAGCACATGACAGAGGAATCTGGTTTTTCTGAATCTGAATTGCTACAGGCAGTAGGTCCTCCCCCTGTTGACCTGATTTGAACAGGTGATGCAGTGATTAAGCATTTGGCTGCTAACCAAAAGGTCAGCTGTTCGAATCTACCAGCCACTCCTTGGAAACTCTGTGGAGCAGTTCCACTCTGTCCTATAGGGTCGCTATGAGTTAGAATTGACCCGACAGCAATGGGTTTTTTTTTGGTTTTTGAGCAGAAGCAGGCTTTTACCATGTTATGGCCCTGAGGTATTGAGATTGTCTGCTACCATAGCAAGCTGTGACTTATCTTTATACAGAGGTGGTCCGGGGCAAGGGAAGGGGAAAGAGAAAACCTGCGTTCCAGTCCTAGCTCTAAAAGTGACTCTGGGCTGTCAGCCAACTTTGCCTCCTACCAACTTCTTTAATCACACTTGAGCTACTGGATTTGGTTGTCATTGTCACAGTGAGTGATCTGCCTGAGGCCATATGGGTGGGAGGCGGACAATTATCTGAATTTCTGAGTTTCTCGGGGGTTGGAAGCCCCACCGCCTACCCCAATATGTGACAGAAGTCTCAGCCAGGAGTAGTCTAAGCATCCATCTGTCCCAAGGTAGCAAATAGGGCCTTTCCGAGTCCTGCGCCTTCCACGACGAGAGGGATTTCTCAATTTTAATTGGGGTTGAAATATAACTCATCAGATCTTAGAACTGGAAAATAACATGCAGCCGCTCTTCCAGAACAAGTTAGAGCCCAGCATCTCCTGGAGGATGTCTGTTTAGCTTTGCTTAAGACCCACAGGCCCAAGAAGCTCACAGCAACCCAGGACAACCCCTGACCCATCAGGACCTGGGACATTGTTGGTGATATCAGAAGGTCTTCCTCTTGCTTAATTAATCTCTACTTCTTCGTAAGAGTTCATCTTTGGTGTGGGCCAAGTGAACTGCACAGCAGGAAGTCCATAGTTGTTTACCCAACATTGTCAGGATGGGCTTCTATCAGGCTGGTGGCCAAGGGGTAGGGGTCAAAGACAAAGTACACATTTCCCCTTCCCTTGCCCCAGACCACCTCTTTATAAAGATAAGTCACAGCTTGCTATAATAACAAATAATCTCAATACCTCAGGGCCACGTGTAATAGGCAAGCTTGGCTCTAAACACAGCCCCCTACATAACTAGATCCCGGGTTTCTAGAGAAGCTCGGGGACTGCAAGCAGACCTGGGTGTTGGCCAGTTGCCTCCCCTGATGACCCTTCGGGCTCCAAGCTCCTTGTCCTCTGGGCTGTGCCATCATAGATTCTAACTGAAATGAATTTGTGTTAATTTGCTCAGCTCTCTTCTCCCTTCTGGCATCACTGTCTCCTTTAATAAGAGTGTTGCTCTGATGTGCCAGGAGCTGCACAGCAGTCACATGCTTGCACGGAAATCATCCGTTCACTTAA